GAGAGGTGCTGGGCACTGCCCGGCTGCCATCTCCTGACTTACTCTCCATTCTCTTCGTTGCCTCTCCAGTGGACAACTAGCACGTCTGAGCAGAAGACAGGAACGCACAAGGATGTCATTCCACATGGCACTGCTATGTCAAAGCAAAGCCACACTATGCTGAAGGCAACCAATCTTGCCTAGGTTTGGCATCAAAATGGGCCTGGATCTGGCTGGTATTTAGCCGGGAAAGTTCCTGAGATAGTTTGGCTGCCAGTGCTAGTCACAAAACTGTAATTAGTTAAATGTGGAAGAGTTGGTTGGGCCTGAGTTTGCCACAGCTAAACTGCCAGCAGCAGAGGACTGCTCGTGAGAGAGAGATGTTCTGAGCGAAAAGAAAAAGATCCAGACTTTTTTGTTCCCCCCAAATGGAAAACAGGACTTAAAAAGAGTGAGAAGGCCATTCTGGCCCCATCATCACCTTCTAAGCTGATGGCAGGGAATAAAAATAAATAAATCATAGTCTGCGAGTAAAGCACCATAGTGTTGCTGATGTTTATTGTAAATGACTACTTGACTACTTTGCTCTGAAACTGGAATAAACCATAACCAAACAGACAAGTTCAGAGCCTGCATGTACAGAAACGATGCAAGTCAGTTGAAATGTAACAGCCCAAATCTTCCAGCAACTGTCCCCCTGTCCCTCAAGCTGCAGACAGAAAATAAGAGCACATGCTATCCCCCAAAACACACAGATTTTCTCACACACACACACACACACACACACACACACACACACACACACACACACACACACACGTCTTGCATGTCCAAAGCACTAAGGCAGTGAGCTAGAGGCTCTCCTGCAAATTGCTCAACTCTCTCTCCAGAGGACACCGTAGCCTTTCACCTCTGAACTACTTAGGAATTTGGCTCTTTATTTTGTATCGCCCCCAAAATTCTCTATTTCTCCCAGAGAGCTCAGCCATCTCCCTGAAGTGTTTCTTGGCAGAGACATTAGTGCTGRGTTGAGGTAGGCGCTACAGGCTTCTTAGTCCGTCTTCCCTCAAGGCCCTTCGCCACTCCTTGGAGAGACATGTGGAAAGCAATGGCGCAGTCAAGCAGCACTAACAGAGCACAACTGAAGTAGCAGGAGACTCTTTTCCCTTTAAAAGATGTTCCTTCCAGTACAAGCCATGGGATCTAGGGGCTGTGTTTATCACAGGTTAGCCCTGCCAGCCGCAGCAAGAGCTGCCTAGCAAGAGGTAGTGTGGCTAAAATAGGGAATGGCTCCAAACTTTGGCCCCAAAGCACAGCACAGGCTTGAAATCTTTCACTGAGTTTGCAGAACTGATGTCTCCTGACTATTTCTAGAACTGAATATGGGATAAGGAACCAGTAAAAATCAACAACAATATGAAAATAATATAAATTCAATTGGGATTTTCTGATTTCTATTTGGAATTTAGTACGGAATTATAGCTTACCTCCCTAGAAACATATTGGACCACCCAATCTATAGCAAAATGATTTCTATGGGGTAGAGCTAATATGTGCATAACCCAAAGGTCAACCCAAAGGTCTGAAATTAGCTCTATTTAGGAGATCCAATTTGATTTTTTTTTAATTGGATTTTTTATGTGTGTGTATTTGTGTGTTTTTACCATGTTCTATCAATTCTACTTGTGACAAAGTATCTATAAAATGGCAGAGGATTCTGGCCTTCCTGCAAGCTTCATGAAGCATTTGATAGAAAGAATAGCACAATACAGCACCTCGACATTTGAGTACACTCACACATACATATGCACAAACAGACACGAATGCAAGATGCTAAATTTTTCCATTAATTTAGACTGCTTCCCAAGAGAAATGTACTGAAAATACATTCATGTCTAGTTCCTGTGAGATTAAGCAAATGTAAATAATGCCAGTTTTTATTGAAAAGGATTGCACTCTTTGTCTTGCTCCTAGTCCAATATGGGGATTAACAAACGAAATAATAAGAACAGCAAAACTAATAAAGGGTAYTCAGAATTTCCACTTTGTTGGGTCAAGTGTAATTTGTTCCAAGCAGCATTTTGAATTCTTCGCTAAATCTAGATTGCCTAATTGTGTAAATTCTCTCACTCACAGAATAAATGCTGACACTCCAGCTTTTGGTTCAACTGGGAATCAAGACATCAAGACACAGGAGAGTTTAAAGGCCATGAAATTTTAGACTCCAGTCACAGGAAAAGATACTGAAAATATATATTCATATATATATATATATTTGTAAATTCTGTAACTTTGGGATTCCCATCAGCTTCAGGTTCTTGGATAAGCTTCTGAGAAATATTCAGGATTTGTGTTTTAGCAAGTGTGCATGTTTGTCCCTCTATAAAACACCATCTATCGCAGTTCCTCAGGAAGACCACCAACCCTTTACAGCAAAACCCTTCTTGCAAGCTACTCAGCTGTTCAACAGCACTGCAGTCCCTCTGTTATATTTTGACCTGGCCACAATAGTTCTCCATGAGCCCAAAGAGAGGGTCACACCCAGTGTGGACATCGCACCATTTGAAGACTTTTGCTGCTACAGAAGCTGCTTAATCTCCCCTTTTTCCCCTCACATCCCCTCCAGTACATGGGTGTATAATAAGCCACAACTTAAGTTTCTTTGTTGTTGAAGCTGACCTTTACCTCGCAGCCCTAATGAAGCCTTTTGATGTGCTCCTAAGATAGGCTGCCTGCTTTTTAGCATTCTGCTTGCCTGCTGTACCCGTGGCTCGCCAAGAAGCTGGTTTTCACACAATGCCTCCCTTGGGTGCCAATTGTTCTTTTCTCCCATAGTTGCCCTTGAGTCATGCCGCTCTGAAGCATCTCCAGCCCATAAGCAGCTCCTCAGTGGGGAATTAGCAGGACGTGCCTTTCACGCCAATGATGAACGTGGCCAGCTTGGCCCCTGCTTTATCCTCACCATGGAGAGCGGCAATACTGAGGTAGAGGGTGACAAAAGGAGAGGCCTGTGTGTGTTGGGGGGATAATTAGCTAAAACGCACTGGGGAGGGAACCACTGGTGTGACAGCAACATGGAATAAAACAACCACTGGAGCCCTTTGCAGGGCGAACGCCCCCTCCTGAAAGCAGCTGCTCTTAGCAAAGGAGCTCAAAAGCCCTTCCCAGAAAGCCAGGCATGTGCTCACTATTAGTGATTTGCATTAAAARAAAAGAGTGATTGGGAGCTACATAGCCTATAGGCACACTAGGCAAACTGGCCAGACTAATTATTATTTTTTGGTATCTCTAATTAAATAGACAAAAGGCCCTCCCTTCACTCTCACTGTGGGCAGGAGCTCTACAGGAATGTGCRGATGTGCCTTGCCTTCCCTTCCCCCCACAGAAAGCATCCCGGACAACTGCCCACATTTCACSGGCTCCTGCCCACACACAGGGCCACACCTTCAGACGGGAAGGGAAAGTGGGTAAATTGCCCTGGTTCTGCTAAAACGCATGGGCCAATGCTGCACAACTTGACAAGCCTTTGTCAGAGGTTAGAAACGTGCTGTGACCCTTGGCAGTAGACCTTGCCTTTGCAGGGCCTGTCAAACACCCTTTGCACACCACTGGCCACCTTCCCCTGAATTTACTTTACAGGGACTCCAAAAGCACAATATTTATCCCTGAGTTTTCTGGCATTTCTCCAGGGTTCAGCTCTTCCTCTAATCTGCAATTACACTGCACCACAGCCCTTCCTTATAAAACCTCTGTCAACCTGCTGGTTTCACCACTCCGTAACACCAACTCTTTAACTATGAGCTATGTACAAAGTCTTCCAATGACTTGAGTCACTGGAGAGTTTCAGCCTCACACTGATGCAGCCAAAGCCTCTGGAATCCAAATCTTTCAACTGAAAACGAAAACAATTTCAGCTCCTTTTGTCTGGGAGGCATTTTACTCCTTTTAAATAGTTGTTGCTAGAGATTTTCATTAATGCCAACACAAAGATACTAGTCACATAAATGAGGAAGAGTCCATAGTGGAGATTAAAGAGTTTTCACATGTCTAAGAGCAAGATCATTAATAAATGACAAAATCCACTCCCACACTTGTATGATATATAAGCGCTAATGTTCTTACYGAATATATGGGCAAAAGCTTCTCTCAAAAGACGAGATTAGCAAGGAAGTACTGTTCTTATATATATATGTACACACACACACACACACATATACATTTTACACACAAATATATGTGCATGTACATACATACACACACATAGGTATCAGAAAACAGAAGGACAACTTGTCCTGCATAATTGACCATCTCACACTTTCTCAGCTCCGTGCTTGATCTGACAAACAGGCTCCTCTTTGTAAAGCATGGTAACGTATCACCAAACCAGTTCTGGTAGAAACCCCTCTTTGAGGAAACATCTTAGTGCTGGCAATTGCTGGTCACTGAGGGATGGAAAAGCACAAGGCCAGCTCCTAATTTCAGCTACACCTGTGCAATTCCTGAATAAYTCCCTTGGACTGAGAGAAGCCTTGGCTTCCACAATAGGTTTATCTAGATAGCAGGTTGTTTTGCACCAGCWTATCTCAAAATGTGCTGCTTCTCAAAGCAGAGCTGCTTCAGTTTAAGCAGAAACAACACAGTCAGAAAAACGATAAAATACTTGCTTTGTTCTAACCAAATTAAACACCATGGCAGCCCAGCCTAACATAGGTCTGAAAAACCTATGCTGCTGTCACTGCTGTTAAACTTTGTTAAGTCAGCGCCTGATGCTTCACTTCTTAACGAGGCAGTTATTTGTTTCCCAGGCAATCGCTGGCACCTGCCTGCCTTTTAAAATCAAATAATAATTGAATATGAGGAAAGCGAGACGAAGTAAAGGAGATTTAATAAAGAGAATCTTTGCTGCAGAGGGAATTTCTTTGGCAGTGATTACGTTACTAATTGATCAGCACATTGCCTGAGAGAAGCCAGAGACAACAATTATACTTAGCACTGTGGCTGAAAGCAATGCAGTCAACTACCTCCTCGGCTTTCGCTGTCCGCTGGCTTCACCTGGATTGGTCTGTTCATCTGCAAAGAAGAACAGAGAGACATATGCAATTAACAGTGGAATCAAATATTCATGTTCAATTTTTTTTCATTTGTTTTTGTATACAATGCATCTAAGTTAGCATTAGGGTTTAGTTCCTGGGTAAAAAAAAGTCAGTCAGCAATCAGTAAGCAATGAAGCGACCACGTACACAGGGTGCTACTGTGTCACCCCATTCACTTGACAGGGACTCTGTGGAATGGCACTGGGTGAAGGATCTGACTCATTTCGTACAGGTCATGAAATTTTAAATATGACTTTTTAAATTTCTAATAGTTTCCTCTGGAAACGTTACCGTGTCAGAAGAGAAATGCTTTGTCAGAACATCGGGTTCAGTGAAAATTTAATTGAAAAGGTTTCTTGAGATTAGCATAGTGAAAATAAGACAGAAAAGTGAGTACAAGTGTTAAAAGCTTGCCATTGTGCTGTGAGGATGTCTGTCCTCCCCCTAGTYCTAGCCCCTCTAGACTAGAGGGCCCCAAAAGCATTGGGGACCATCACTGTCTCCAGAGATGCTCCCTCTCAGGAGAAGGGACAGCTGATGTCCATGACCTTCTTGACTGGTCATGACTAGCATATGCAGGTGATCTGAATCATCATCTTTTCTCCCCATCACTTTAAAGAACCCTTTTTTGGGTAAAGAAATGCCAGTGTGTCTACCTAAAGCTTTGGGAGAGTTAGAGGGTGCTGAGCCAGTATGTGCTGGCTTCAAATGCTTCTCTGAACTTTTTTCTAATTTTGTGGGCAGAGGTTGGATGCTACTGCTAATAAAGCTGAGGAAAACAAATAACAACATGCTAAATCAGTCAAGGTGATTTCCATGGGATATGTGTGGCATTCACATTCCAGTATAATCAGGTCACAGCTGAGAAAYAGGCATGTCTGGAAGCCTGGATCTCTCCTCCAAAGTTTAGAAAGCTTCAGATACAAGGTTTGTTTACTATGTTATTGAAATTAGACAGCAACTGAGAAGACAGGGTCCAGCACTGTCCTCATAAAGCTGCTTCYCCTATGCTAAGCACATGAGAACACTGGAAACATTAGTGCTAGATCATCTAGCTTCATAAGGAGACTCTCAAGCTTTCCAGCTGGTGTGCTTGGTACTCAGTTAGTACTGCCTATACACTACTCAAAATATTTTACTRCTAGTTTTTTAGCATCTCCATGCTGCTTCTCCAGTGTTTCTGTTACCTTTGAAAGTAGCAGAGGTGATTCTGTCCCCTCCTTATTTCCGGCTAATGACAGTTAGGCAGCAAGTTTTTTTCTTTTTTTTTTAAACTACTTCATAATCATCTAGATTCATTCTAATTGCTCTGCACACATGTCTAGCAATAAAAAGTTATCAAAGTGCCTGACAAGTAGGTTAAGATGATGGAGGGTCTATCAGATCCTGTTGCATTGTTGTCTAGAGAGGAAAATGTACTTAGCCATAAGCTGATTACAGTTAGATTCATACTCAAAGAGAAGGATCAAATGAGAGATCTATCTTGGAGCTCAGTGGCTCCAGGTTCTGCTCCCTGAGTCTTTGCAATAAGGTTAGAATTTGCTATGTAAAAYAAACCCCACCTTAGTTCTTCCTATGCCTGGATTATTGGAGTTAAAGGCACCCATTTAGTGTGCTCTGATTTCCCCCAGGTGTTCAACCACTGCTCTTTGGGTTGAGTTTAGAGCAGGGTGGTGTTGCCAACATCCATATACCATGGTCTGACTCAAACTGCTGCACTCAAGTGTAGGAGCTGAAGCCTGCTAAAGACAAACTGAAAATCCCTCCCAAACATGAGTAAATCTTGGATCCAACCCTTGGGAAAGCTATGAAGAGCTCTCYCCACTTGTGAAGAGCTAGATCTGATCGTTAACACAAAGGTAGACAGAAGCATCAGGCCCTTTAGCAAAATGAAAGCAGACTAATACGTGGGTCATTGTTTTTTGAGACAGGGGCATGAGAGGAAAAGAAGAGAAAACATAAGAAAAGGAAAGAACAGAACACAGGAAGAAAAAAAAAACAGGGAAATTAATAAGTAAAAGGCTAGTGTAATTTAATGTACACTATGATTTATACACTTGACAATTTCTTTATAGACCAAAGAAAAAGTGCTGCATGCACGGAGCCCATAATACAAATTGAGATCATCTTGACATGAAAGACACCAATTATAGAGAGAAACATTGAGAGGGAAATAATTAAGTTTCCTCTCTCCATCTATGAAAGTGTTTTTTTTTTCTCTCACAGAGAGACTGTGAGAGCAGGGAGCCAGCACAGGGAGCAAGAAGGGCAGAGCAGGGACATAACATGGCAGGAGGATAGATGCACCTTCCCTAGCCCGGGAATACCTGCTCGGGAGCAGGGAATGCAGAGGGCTGCCCAGCTCTGAGCTCTCTCCTTATTCTCCAGCTGGGGACTGTCAGGGATTCACTGCAGAGGAACTGGGAGCTCATGCTCCAAGCCATGGTTCTCAGAACAGCAGCTGGAGCAGTAGCCTCTTTTTGGTTTTTCTTTTCTTTTTTTTTTTTTTTTTTTTTTGGATCCTTTGCACCCTCATCTCCATCATCTTTACCACGACTTCTGCACGCTATGGACAGGCGCTACCTGTTACCCTTTGTACATTTCATTTTGGCTTTTCCTTCATTTTTTCTGCTTGAACCAACCCCATTTGGATGATGCCAAATGCCATCTTTCCATGTCACTTTGCCACCTGCCCCACCTACCCCCAGCCCAGTCCTCCCTGCAACCAGAAATGCGACATCATTTTTCATGTCCAATTACAGCCACTGTGGTGCCACTGTTAAAAGACAGCGCAGGTACTCCTGTCAGAAAGGGTTTGAGTTACAAGAAGCGATGAATTACAGCAAGCCCTTTTTCAATTCTCTGCAGAAATGAAATGTCAGAGCTTGCTGCTGTATTTTTCTCAGCACCATCAGCTACAGGCCACTTCAGGAATTAGACAAGGGACAGACGCTTTTCTGCATCATGATGGGTTTTTTTCTCTCCTGAGGTTGCCGTTTTCTCCCCCACCAACCGTCTTCTGCTCCCTCTGGCTTTGAAATTAATTTAGGGTAGGTAGAAGGATCACCTGGGAAAGAAGGATAGAAACCAGACACAGCTGATTTCTCACTATCTCCATCTTTCTTCCCCACACTGTTCCTATTATCCCTTTCTTTCTAGTCTCACTCACTCTTTCATTAGTTTTTGGTATAACCAGATCTTCTAGCCAGGCTCTATGAGTCTTGAGAATGGCCAAAGATAGAGCTAAAATATATATAATTAATAATAGAGACACAGTCTGAATAGCTTCAACAAGATTTGGGATAGGAAGAAAAGGTGGTAAGGGGAAGGGGCTACTGAAGATCACTAGAGCAGCACTAGTGTGAAGAGCATGATGTAAAGAAGATGATGTCCAAGGCAGCAGAGATTCCATCTGCTTCATCCAGAGCTGTGCTGGAGCTAATCTGCCGCTTGTGCTTAAGGATCAAGTCACTCCAGTTGACAAAAAGAGATTCTAGAGCTTGTGTGATGTATGAGACTATGGGGAATGACCACAATGATCATTTATCTATCTAACAAAAATAAGAGAGCCTTTCCACCTCTCCTTACAGGGCTTAAGAACTTTCATCATTTTCTGAGAGAAGATCAGGGTGTTTTAATTAAGGCTTTCAATCAAAAGCTGTGAGCAAAAAGAAGAGTTCTTCACTGTCTCTGTTTCCTCRTGTGTCCAGAGACACTCTGCTATGCTGGAGTATGTAGAGCTATACACCTCCAAAAGGGWMTAKTCCCAGCACCATGATGGCTTTCTGGGTGAATCTGGACATACTGCATCTTAGCTTCCTATTCTTAGCTTTGTCTTCTATAAAATGAAGATTACTGCATCTGTGTAGCCAGTGATATAGGGTTGTYTCATGGAAGAAAACCTTATCCTAGGGCAGCTAACCTCCTAAAAATGCCATGTGGTTCTTAGTGACCTCATGGCATAGTTTAGATGTTAATCAGGACCAAAGACAATTGGTTCTGATTACAATTAAACAACTACCCTGAAATTTCCAGAAAATATGGTATTCCCCATTTCCTCGGTTAGAAAGCTTTGTCTATGGAGAGAGAGAGAGAGAAAGAGAGAGAAAGAGAGAGAGAAAGAGAGAGAGAAAGAGAGAGAGAGAGAGAGAGAGAGAGAGAGAGAGAGAGAGAGAGAGAGAGAGAGAAAGAAAGAAAGAAAGAAAGAAAGAAAGAAAGAAAGAAAGAAAGAAAGAAAGAAAGAAAGAAAGAAAGAAAGAAAGAAAGAAAGAAAGAAAGANAGAAAGAAAGAAAGAAAGAAAGAAAGAAAGAAAGAAAGAAAGAAAGAAAGAAAGAAAGAAAGAAAGAAAGAAAGAAAGAAAGAAAGAAAGAAAGAGAAAACACCCTCACACAAAGAAGAGTTTCATTTTACTGCTCCTGCCAACCATTTGTGGGCCTGTCTTATACACAGTAGTAATCCCACTGAAATCAAGACAGCTACTTATGTGTAAAGGTATTGACATGAATGTGTGCTTGTAGGAGTGGGTCATAAATTTTAAAGCATTGAGCAAAATCTGGTTTGATTGAAGGCCCTAAGGAAATGCAAAGTATATTAGTGTCAAAGTTGGAAAGGCCAAGAAAATCACCTACAATTGAATTGTGTGTGTGTAATTGCAAAGTTCAAGTAAATCACTCTGTACCTGATTCTGAGTGACATAATTGAATTACAGTGATCTAAACTAGATAGCCATGAGAGTGAATCCAAAGCAATCTTCCTCTCTGAAGAAAGAGAGAAACTCAGGGCCCAAATCCTCAGCTCAGGGAAATTTCAGGGAAAGTTACAGAATCATGAAAGCTGCTTCAACACATCTTAGCTACACAGCGAGTCTTCTGCATTGGTATACTGAAGCTGTAATGCATCGAGTAGAAACCTGCTGCAGTAGGTAAAGAGGTAAGTGATGCAGTTGCAGGCATCACCGTGTGACTGCACAAGCACAC